TATATGTTACTAGGAATGAGTTATTTTTATCTTTAAACAAATTACTGTCTAAAATGTCTCATGGGGGGGGTACCAGGGATCAAACTTGGGTCCTTGCACTTGACGGGCAGGCGGTAAAACCACTGAGCAAAATCCCAGGCCCTAAAATGTCTCATTCTTCACACGATAAAATTAATACATATAACATTTGCATAGAAATGCTCTTTGGAGGTCCTAGATTTGTAAGAGTATAAGGGGTCATAAATACAATGACCTTGAAAATAAACTATTTATATTTAAGCTGCAACTCAAAGAGTTGTTCTATCACTAGTCTCACAATACAAATGAAAAGAAAACAGATACAGAAATAACTTGCCCAAGATTACCCAACAAGTCTCTTAAACCGGCTTTTGGATACAAGTTTTATTCCTGACCCTCTCTCCTCTTCACTGGTAAGCAACAGTGTCTCCCTAAGACCTGGTTAAAGACCACTCATATAGTTACATGTTAATATCTGTTTAAAAGGCAATATCCTATACTGATCTGTTTTCTGTCTTTCAGCCTCAGAAAGTACTATGTGATCACTGTAACGTTTTAAATGCATGGAATTAACTTTTTTCCAACTCAAACGCTACAAAAATAAAATCCCAGCCAGGAGTAGTGGGCATGCCAGTAATCCCAGCACTCGGTGAGACAGACGTAGGAGGATGGCAAGTACAAGCCCAGCCTGGGCAATTTAGTAAGACCCCATTCTCAAAATAAAAAGGGATGGAGATACAGCTCTGCATAAAGACCCTGGATCCAATCCCCAGTACCATAAAAAAAAAAAAAAAAAAAAAAAAATTTTTTTTTTTTTTTTTTTTTTTTGGTTTTGGAGATCAAAGTCAGGACCTTGCACTTGCAAGGCAGGTGGACGAACCACTGAGCTAAAAAAAAAAAATTTTTTTTAATGAAATCCCATCACCACCGCAAGTATCCAATGAAGAAAATTACTCTAAGAGTTTGGCTCTCATTTATGTAGCATTTACTTATACATACAGGCATGCTTCTATTCTTTTTACTTGGATAAGGGCATTTCTTAAATGGGGTCACATGAATTTCGCAACTTGTCTTATTTCACTTAATAGCTCTTTAAGAATTTCCTCCAACTACAAAGAGATTTACCACTTTTTACAGATCATCATCATTAAACACCCAACTAAGGTACCCTATGTGACTTACTTCCAGATTTCTCCTATTACAGAAAAAGTCCCAAGAAATATGCTGAAATTTGTGTTTGGGAAGTCGTATCTGCCAGAAAATTCTTAGAATTAAACTTGCTGAGTTAAAGGGTATAAATATTAAAAACCTTAAAAGGGCCAGGGATTTAGCTGAGCAGTTCTGCTGCCTGCCTTGCAACTGCAAGGACCAGAGTTCAATCACCAGTACCAAAAAAAAACTAATAGATTTCCCTAAAGTCCTCCAAAATGACCATGCCCAATTTATATTCTAACCAACTGCAAGAGATTTCCTCCACTAATGAAGCATTTTTTGTTTTTCTTGGGTTTTTTGTTTTGTTTTGTTTTTTTGAGACAGGGTCTCACTAAGTAGTTCAGACTGATCTGGAACTATGTAGCCTAGGCTGGTCTCAAACTCACAGCAATCCTCCTGCCTCAGCCTCCCAAATGCTGGGATTACAGGCATGCACCAACACGCCCAACTTAAGGCTTTTAAGTGCCTTAAGAAATTATACTTTATGTTGCTTCAAAATGACAAGTACAACTGTTCTCACATGTCATCTTAATTCCAATCAGTACCTACACAAATAGCACTCACCCATCTCTTACTTTTTCCTTATACCTTTTAAATGCCTCAAAGACAAAATAAACCAGGTGCACACAAAATTATAAATAGTGACCCCTCAAATTTAGGTATCTAGATAGTTATCCAAATTATTTCAAAAGACACAAATCAGAACTGAGCAATAAAGCAAGGCTCACTTAAAGGAAATTTGTAAGCATGGATTTATTATGCTTTACCTGCCTACTCAAAGGACTAAAGGCTACAGATAAAAATTAAATCATATCAGAGACAAAATAGCTCACATAAAATAATATGCAGATTTAATATCATAAATGTCAATGAAATAGATTGCAATAGTAAGGATGGCTATAATTGGAAAGTTCAATGAAATTCACAATATTGAAAATGAAAATATTAATACTTGAAATGTTTTGAATGTGACAATTCATTTTAGTCTTATCAGATTAGAATAAATCTTTGATGTTAATAAATAAGACATAGTCTTTTTTTTTTTTTTTTTTTTGGTACCAGGGATTGAACTCGGGACCTTGAACTTGCAAGACAGGCTGTGGAACCACTGAACTAAATTCCCAGCCCAAGACATAGTCTTTTCTTGAAAGTAGATCATTTAAAAATGCATCAAACTCTTACCTCACTTTTCTGTATCGGCTAATGGATATACAAGGTTTCACAGCTTCCTCAAAATCTCTTTTTCTATTACTTTATACCAGTAGTTTTAAATTGAAAGATGTCACATATCTCTGTGACAGAGTAAAGACTCATTAATTCAAATCCAATTAGATCAATTCTGAGAGAATATATGTAATTCCTATTCAGCAGCAAGTTGAAAAAACTATAATTTTTCCCCTACAAGTTCTCATATTATTATTGCAAAGTAAAGGAAATCAACTTGAAAATTAATTTGCCTTTCTAAACTAAAGATTTATAAAACCATCCATCTCATGGCTAAGCAGCTCATGCTCAGTTCTACATTTCATCTGTGGTTATCAGCCACTGTACAGTGAGAGAGATCTAACTCATCACTATTTACAGGCATTTACAGTTTAGAGTATGAGCAATTCTTTCAAATATACTCAGATTTTCCCTCAAATTTAATTTTGTAATTTCTCCCATTTCAAATGGGTGAAATCATATCCTATCACTTACAAAACACTGCACCTTAAGAGGTACTATTAGAAATGCTTGGCATTCTCATTCTGCATTTATTTATCATTTTGAAAGATAAATAGTAAAGCAAAATAATAATAGTACCAGGATTAAAAATGCACGTTTGGTGTTGCCTGAACTCACAACTATTCCCAATGAGCAGTGCGGCCTTCGCTTGCGATCGGAATCGTGTGTAATTACAGTTTGACAAGGCCTCTCCTGGGCAACGTAAGCTGGCATTTTTCCCAGGACTTGTCACATCACGAGAACCACACATACAAATAAAAATCCAAAAATAAACACTTTAAAACAATGACTTACACACCATACAAAGAAGCTCCTCACTCAAGAATAAAAATCACAGAGTTCAACCAACAGGCATACTTGAAGAGGTCTGGGAAGACCTTTTCCATGCTGCTCACCACACCTGGCAACAAGTCCCAGGTGTGGCCCGGTGGGTGGGCAGCACCCTCACGTTCCCTTGGGCTGGACAGAAAAGCATTAAGTCGGGGAAATACAGGAAACCTCACCACACACACCACTGAAGCAGAGAAAAGTGGCACACCACAGAAGAGGCTGATCTTCAATTTCATAATGCCAAATGTTGGTTGTTAAGGTGCCTAAACAAAGTTATCTTAAGAGCTACATCTTCTGTCAACTGAGTTTATTTTCCTAATATAAGAAATGTTGCTTTTTGGTGAAGTGTATTTCACCTTGAAGTAAATAGCAGCCAAGCAGCAGTAATAGTGTATACCAAGGATCTTAGAAAGGGGTCTCTTTTGTTTAAATTCCTCTGCAGTGGCTCTACAGACACATGGAGAAAGATTCCAAGCATAACATCCAGTCTCTGGCAGTGACAGAAACTTGACAATGCTCATCCTTATCACAGCTTGGAAGAAATACAAAGTATAATAAATATCCCAATCTACATTCTGATATAAAATACTGAACACTAAAAGTTATTTCCTGTAAGCCAGGCATACTTCTAGCCTTCTACTTAGGAGCTTGCTGCATTTATTAACCATCCAACAAAGCTCATCGACTTCAACTGTGTAAGTTTTCAAGAGGCACTACAAACCAAACCATTAAGGGCACAAAAACACACATTCGTACTTGCCAGTACATGACCACTGGAAAGCACCACACAAACTCCGCCACCTTTCTTTATTCAGCCCCTGAATGTTCAGCAATTTCCACACAGCTCTAAGCAGAATGGATTTATTATGATGTTACTCTAAGAAACTGCAGGAGTTCTAGATGCCAATAAAGATTACGGATCAAATGGAAGATAACTACTAACCATTGTGTCGCCTTAGATAAATAAACCTGCTCACAAACAAAGCACCTTATTGTATTTGTACTGTTACCTCCACTAATCCAACTAAAACAACCAGACAGTAGCTTTCCAGAGGCTGAAAGCAATAGAAACAAAGACTTCTCAAACCCTCTTTAAATTTCTTTTAAAAGGACACCCTTTTCTCTTTTCAAAAGCTGTCCTGCTCTTTATGGAAAATGTTTCAGACTGCAGAAGCTCAGCAAGACTGTGCAAATTAGACTCCAAGGCTAAGAACCAAGGTGGACAGAAGACACAGGCAACACAGCATCTCTTTGAAACTTAGCTTCCAACCCCTGAAGAAAGCCTCTCCCTGCCGATCACATCTAGCAAACAATTCACAAAGGTGCCCAAAATCGAAGCAGCAGTCAAACATCCTGGGAGAAAGACGGCCGGAGGAGTAATCTCCCCAACTACATATAGTCAAGACTGGGATGGGGTGTGACACGGCTAATTTCCAAAAGAAGTCTTTGGCAACTGGCATTCAGTGCTTCCCAGGTAGAGGGGAAGCAGAGAAGATGCTAAAGACAATCGGCTTCTTAAGACGGAACATTAATTACATCCATTCCTCGCTAACACCACAGGTAAATTCCTATTTCTCCAGGATAAAGGGGGGCATGCCCAACCCCTAATTACAGCCTCCCCACAGCCCCAGGGGCCCCGGATGAGTAAACATGACATGATTGTTCCCTCGCGCAGGGACATTTGTTATCGCGCCTCTTTTGTACTGGAACCTTACCTCTTTTGGGCCTAGGGAAGCTTTCGTGCAAGTGGAAGACGACTTTCTCCACGAAGTGCTGTATGTTGCTGTGCTCCGGGCCGCGCACGAACACCATCCAGTCGTGGGTGAAGCCCTCCACGGTGGGTTTCTTCCGCACCTGGGCGCGGTGCCCCAGCTCCAGCTTCACCTGCACGGCGCACTGCGGGCGGGGACACGGCCGTGAACAACAGGAAGGCGACGACTGGGGGCCGAGCCCCGAGCCTGACATTTTCTCTCCGCCCCGAAACGCACGGAGAG